CCGATTATGCTGATTTTCGAACTCAACCTGCGTTTTAGTAAGACTGACCATTCCTGTGAGTTTAATGACAATTGGGCTTACTGTTTTTCTTATATTGTGTTTACAGTGTTGCATATATGCTGAACAATGAAAAAAACGCATAACTACTAAAATAGTGGCCCGATCATGCTGATTTTCGAACTTGACCTGCATTTTAGTAAGATTGATTACTCCTGTGAGTTTCATGACAACAGGCCTAACGGTTGCATATATGCTGAAAAGTGAAAAAACAGCATAACTTCTACAATAATGGCCCGATCATGCTGATTTTCGAACTTGACCTGCGTTTTATGAATATTCATCAGCTCTGTAAATATAAAGCCAAAAAGTGAAACTGCCTTCCACTTATCGTGTTTACAAGGAAAGTGCACGGCGCCGGCGACGGCATCGGCATCGGCGACGACAGACGCAGGTGATGGCAATATGTACAGACACATCTGTGTCTGTACATAAAAACCGATAGTCTTTATTTTTCAGGAAATTTATCAGGATTTCTGAACCAATGTTACCATAGTTAACAAGAATTCAGTGAATTCATTTCTGTAAGAACCAACATTCAGAAGGAAGACTACAGTGCAATTTTTTACTGTCGATTCAATTTAATAAAACCTCAGATGGTACATTACACAACTTATTTTTTTTTTCTTTTGGGCAGTTTTGAGTAATCTTTATATGTTGGTATTCTGAAAGTATATTGGCAAAAAGCCTGGACCAGTCCAGCACTTTCAGGTTTTCAGAGCCCAAGAAAACATTTTTTCTTAAATTCAATATCTGTTCGATCAGGCAGTTGCTACCTATGTACTATGCTACATCTGGTCAAATCCATCAGCTTCTTAAATCAATGACCCAGGTAACTAGGACAGTAACATGGTATTGTAGCCCAAAATTCATGATTAAATATTTGTGGAAAAATACTGTATGCTCCATTCTAATGGGAAAGTTCTTGTGTTCCAAGTCCTGGAAATTATTAAGTGGGCTAGTTAACCGGGTGTTTATTCATAATGAATATGTTACCATGGACAAGAAGTAATGTTACGACACGCTCAACAAATGGACTTCAAATCACTCTTCTGAACAATGGATTTATTTTAATAAATACATCAACAACAACATGATACTCCTCCACTGCATGTCAAATATGCTATAAATATGTCGGCTTTTACTTTCTTTAAACACATCTGGCCCACGTGTTCAACTATAATAATCTGTCAGTCTTTACTGTTGCTAATTAAAACGACTCAGAGCTAACAATAAATATCAAATATAGAAATAATGGCAGGCAGGTAACAGAATTGAGAGGCATAGCTTTAAGCCTTTTCAAAAATGATAAGGCTGATAAATACATAGTAACAGCATAATCTACCAGCATGCTAAATATCCAAAGTAAATGGATATTACAACAAAAAGTAATGTAACTAAAATAACTGAAGTCTTTGGAAATTACATTTATAAAATAAAAAAACACCAAATGGCACTTTAAAAAATTCTGAAATGCAGGTAAACCAACTCCTTTTGGTCTTGAACAACACCTTTTGGTTTTGACCACTAATTACTTTACCCAATCTCCACTTACTTGGCACAAATTACCACTCGCTTTCATTGCACAAGACACAAGTGAAACAAAAGTGTTTATACCACACTCAACTAAAAGTGTATCATTTACTAGAATTTGTATATAGGTCAGGATCCTATATTCTTGCTATATATCAATCTTTATCTATGCTATTTATCATATATGATCAACAATTAAGATACAACACAAAATATCTTTACAAATATTTCAAAACAAGATTATCACAACATCTGATAAAGATGCAACGTTTGAAAATTTAAAAAAGAGCATTTTGTCTTTGAGAGAGCATATGATAAACATATATAACTGCAAAGAAAACAAGTAAACTATATTCTCAATTTTAAATATAATATGTAAACATATATGTGGTTTGTGTGCCGTCCCTGACGACTTTTGTCCTGACCAATGAGATCTCTTCAATACAATTTTTCCAGAGATTAATTCACATTCTGATTACATTAAAGATTGCATGTTATGTCCATCAGTTTGCACTGCATCAACAGTGCTTAAGATCCAGCAATCTGTAAAAATCAAAACAAAAAAAAAAAAAATAATAATAATAATAAAACACAAAAATATAATATTATGAGCAATGAAATTAATTTTCATTGCAACTAAATTCCTTTAACTAATATTTGAACAATAAAATCAGAAGATAAATAACTGTTACGTTTAATTATATTCACACAATTTGTTTCTTAGCTAATACACAAGGAATATTAAGGGAAACAGATATCCTATTTTCCCATCCAACCAGCACTGGTGTTAGGCCTTTGCATATGCAAAGATTTTCCAGTATGGGCAATTTTTACCAGTTCACAAACGAAAAGGAGTGCAGTTTTGTTTTTGAGTACTAGTATTTTCTTCCTATCTGATAAAATTTCAAGACTTCCAAGCAGTACTATACAATAACACACAAAGTTTGTCTTCATTAATCCCTTTCATTTCTTATCCAACAAAGCCATAGCACTGTTGCAGTACAAAACGATGGCTCAATAACATACTTAACATGAAATCAGACATGGTTGTCATTATCTCTTCATTTATATCAGGAAGACAGTGAAAACATAATGAAATTACTTTAAAGTCATCTCCATTGTGACTATAACGATTTCACCAACTGTAATTAGCCGAAGTCATTTATGTTCAAAATAGGCATTCAATTTCAATTATAAAATGCCAACTTACTCCTGAAATAAACAACCTACATATGGCTTGCTTACTTTCCCAGATCCATAACTTTATCCACTGAAGTCCTACACAACTGGTTCCTCATCTTTATTTGCTGATTCCTGAGATTCACCAGTTTCCAGTAATGGAGTAAGGCTGGTTACAGTGCTCTGGTTTGTGTATGGGGTATAGCCATAGTCTGTCCCAACATGCATGGGAACAGTTACAGACTCAGCAATAGGGGCAAGAGAAGGAGAAGGGCCCTCTGCATTGTTGGTTGGTTGCCCAGAGGTATCTCCCCAATTTGTAACATTTGACTCATTTGCTGAACTGGACCTTCCCTCATCTTGTTCATCACACATTGTAACTGTGAACCCATGGACTACTCTGGTGGCATCATTGGATGATATAGAGGTATACTTTGGTGCGTCAACTGCAGTTGGGCTGTTGACAGTGCTCTGAGGTGGTGTGATGTCTATAAAATTACCAGATGGGGACATACTGCAATTCATCCTACTCCTCTGACCATTAAGCCATCTTTCTACATACGAAGAAGCAACAGATTCTTGCTTACTGGTACGCTCTCCTCTGGGTCTTCGAATTGGAACAGGACTCCTAGTACTACTACTCAAATGTCCTTTTCTTGGTGAGTGACTGGTTCGTCTCTCTGAAACTGGGGTTCCAGGGCTACTATGGCTCAAGGAATTGAGACTCAAGGGGCGCTGCACATGCCCTTCAACCAATTCAGAAATGCGACGTGGTTTGTGACTTGATAAATTTCCTGAATTTATGGATGTCCCCAATTCTATGTTAGAATGTATGTACCTGTGTTGATGCGGGGATGGCATACTGTAGTTCTCATTTTCAGGAATGGTTTCCATTGGCATCACAACCTTCATGTCACAGTCAGAAAAACTGTAGTGAAAAAAACATTACAGCTCATTAAGCATGAAATCCAAGAGGCTCTTTCTGAAGAAATAACCACAGCAATCATGACAGGTCTTTAAATAAAGGTGTCTCAATGTTACCTTTTTCATAAGGGATTCTTTGTTGAGCTTAAAACAAATAATGACTAAACATTACAAACTTCTAACATCTTTGCCACATGAAAATCATATACTCAGTAAGTAAAACATAAGATGTGAGTGCACATTGTGTACCATTTTCTTTTTGTTTCAAAAAAATTATTAATTTTCTTTCTTGAAAATTCTTTCACTTTTTCCATTTAATATCCACCTCATATCAGCAGTTGAGCCCAGCCATGGGTCAATTCTGGTTTTCACAGAAGACTTGGTGTATGGAATGATAGGCTCAAGCTCATCCCAATACATATCAATTTCCAGCTTTGGAAGAACCATGTACATTTCATCCACAGCCAATAGAGAGACCTGGAACAAGATACAGGCCAATCTTGAACATCATTTCATTTTGGCAGTATTATATAGGTTACATTTAAAAACTCAAAATTGAATTCTTCAATCAATTCTTACAATTACTTAAATCACATTTAAGTATGAAATGAAAAGCATTTAACTGACAAACAGTACTTTCATACCTGTAAATTTCTGTCAATCATCCAGTTTACTTCAAAGTCATCATCACCTTCTCCAAATGGATTGGTCAACTGTTCTGCAACCTGAAAAGAGATTATTTGTAGACATGTAAATGCTGCTTACCAATTATCGTAAGAATTGTAATCATTATCCTTTTTACTCTTCTATTCATATCTGCTCACCTTTATCCAGCCCATATAAAAGAAGAATTGCAGCACACTGAATGCTGGAACGTAGAGGTCAACATCGTGGCCTGGGTAACCCTGGGAAGGGTCCAGAAACTGGCTAGTTAGGAGTGTGGCCAGAAAGTAAGTGTATATAGCCAAAGTTGTCACCTGAGGAAAATATTTTTACCAAATAATATTCTTATTCAACATCATTAAAAATCCATTCAAGTCTCCACATGAGTTCCTATTCAACTTCAGTAGGAACAATATCTGTGGCAGAGATTTTTACCCAATTAAAATTATATGATATCATTAAAATTATGTTAATGTCTCCACATGGATTCTAATTCAACTTTTGTAGCAACTACTCCAATTTTTCTTTATTTAAATATTACACATTTCATTATTATATTTCTTAAATGGACTATGCTGTAAACACATTGGAGCACCTTAAATGTTAACTGGCACACCTTTAGAGAAAACACCTTACTGGAATTGGTGGTTTTGGCACTCAAATATGGTAGTAATACAGAGAAACTTACTAAGTAGCACCATGAGATGCAACTAGATAATTATGAGAAGCAGAATAAATGTCACTGACTTCAGATGTTTCTTGTGAATATCTTTGAAAACTTACGACTATTATTTGAAGAATCCCTTCATAAAGAAGCAAAACATTTGATTATGTTAACATTGGCACCAAAGTAACTCTAAATGGCATGTATATATTTCAGGAAATAACCAGACTGTCTACAAGAAGATTTAATTACTTACCTGTGTATAAACTAAAGGAATGCTGATCCAGTCAAACGTGTACATGCTGCCAAGACCAGCTCTGAAGTTGTTAATTTCCTGCAAAATAAATAGGACTTGCAGTTAAGGTAAGAGGGAATACTTAAACACACAATCTGCAGACAAATAAGTAAGAAACAGAATCCACCCTAACCTTCATCATTCAGTTAAGTTAACTGTTCACTTCCATTTCAATCATTACTGGTACCTCTTTCATGGTCTCATCTATCTATTTATCTATTTTTCACCTCCCCAAAACATGTCACTAATCTGCCACTGAAGTGATTACACAAAGGGATCATTTCCAGACCCTTTTGTACTAACTTTGGATCGATTTATCTCCAAGGGGATTCTTGCTAAAATTGCCATCAACTTAAGTGGCTTAGATGGCTTTCATGTCTACTGAAGCTGCTAGGGGGTAATTAATTATCGTTTAGCAGCTTAATCAGCAGGCGTGACAGACATCTAACCTGCTTCAGCTAAAAGCAATTGAGCGAGAAACCCCTTGGAGATGGATCAATCCTGTTAGATTGATCTAGGCATGGGAACCCAGTCTCAGCTACCTGTAATAAGGTCTTAAGACTGATGTCATCCTTGATCCTTCCCTCATTCCTTGCTATGGATGTAAGGGTGCAGGCCCAGTGGCATGGCACCCAGTACTTGCTGTGGGGAGAAGGAAGGTCTTCAAACAGTTTCTTTTCATCTTCTGTCATCAACCCTGGAAACCCAAATAGCAGCAATTGAAATGCAAGGAATAATATCAAGTTCGCAATAATACAGCATGGCAGCTGCATGTTGTATCATTGCTGTAATCAGGTACAGCAATGTCAAAAACTCAAAATATAAAATTTCAATGGGTGGAATAAAAACCAATCTTTCCACGGTGAAATATGCTTTCAAATGCAGTCTTCAATATTTTCATGGTCTTCCTCTGTTTCTTCTGACTCAAGGAAATTCTACTTTCAGTGAATCCCAAGATNCACTTGGTGGGTATAACCAGTTTTTTTCCAAAGTTTAAATGTCAATATTATGTATGTATTATAGAATTCGACACCCAAATTTATGGGAATTTCTGATTTCAAAGCACCAGCCAGGTAAGTAATGATTTTCCGTTGAAGGAAGGAGGGGCTTAGAAAAAAGTGATTGGGAGGGGTTCTTAGGAGGTCAAAACTGCGCGTCTAGCGGCGCCCTAACCAGCACTCAAAAACAGCTAAGTCCACAAAGTAAAAACAACGACATGTGCTCGTTAAATTGGCCTTATTTTAGTTCAGTATCAACGTAAAAGAACTAAGCTTTGCAAAGTTGAATAGTTAGATATCATGAATGATATTAGAGATAGAGGTATACCTATCCGAGTATGTATAAACAGCTGCATTATTACAGATAACAGGTGCTCATGTAATGTTAATTGAAATTTGACTCAACTGTCGTAACATAACGTACCATTCCATAGTTTCTGATGCAAGACATGATCACAATATAATCAATATTTTGTTAATTACAATATGACAGTATCACATTTACTATATACGTAATTCAACTAATATAGCCGCCAAAAAAAAAAAACATTAAATTTTGAATTGTTGAATTGCATGCATTCAGTCTTTACACAGATGGTCAGGAGACTACAATGTAACACCACTTCCAGGCAGCACATTTGCATTTCCGCGATGTTTTTAAATTCAATTTTACCAAGTATTACAAAAATAAAAAAAATGTCCACACCGATTGGAAACTTTCTCGATTAATGATCAGAAAATCCATTCACCACAATTTACAAGATTCGCAAATAAACAATTAACAAAAGTGAAATACTCGCGTTATTTTCGTTTTGCGTGTTAGCATGTAAAAGACCATAGCTATGAACCCAGGAGCCAACGGTATACAGGCCTACAGGTATACAGGCATTGCTCCTTGCATTTCGAAATTGCACACCTTTGGCTACAGAAACGTGTTTAACAAAAAACATAGGACCGAAAGTTAATCTCAACTTTAAAACTAACACTTCATGATATTAACACAACTATGATCCATGATAAATCAGTAGCAGTAGCCCCGTTTAACTGAATAAACGAGGGGGGGGGGGTGACTGATGCTGTAAACTAGTTCATTAATTATAGCAAATGGTACCTCATTTATCGCGGATTTGCAGCAGACCAAAATGCTCGCCCTCAGAGAGGCCAGCCTATCGACATGACCAGCTTATCGACATGGGTTCTTTTTTCATTTTTTTTTCTTTTGTGAAGTCGTGGCCTATCACGTCAGCGATGAATAACAAATTGTGAAATGAATTATGAGAGCGAGTGAGATTGAGGAGGGGAGGGAGTGACAGGGGAGGGCCTTCACATCTAATACACTGAAGAGCTCTTTAACACGCCGTAATAAATCGTTTCTGCATCCGTTCATCGGATAATTCACAGTACTTAAGCCTTTCAGTGTTCTGGTGTTTAGGGAAAGGTGCCCGAACTGAAACAGATCGATTTTATGACTTCCCAGTCCAGGCGATTGCCACTTGTGGCCGACAAGATATGAACAGAATATGATATCAATGCCCCCTACTTTTAAGCTATAAGCGAGACCAATGGTACAGAAGTCTAACATAAACGATATATACAGGCTCTTTTCAATGTCTACATCTGCAAGGTAACGATTATACCATTACGCATCTTAATCTCTCAAATTAGTTTTCAAGAGCCTTACTTTTGCCGTTTAAAATCATCAAAAGCCCTCTTTAAAATGTTTCCGTATCACCATTAACCTTGTATCCAGTTAAAAACGTGACATTTAACAAAATATCAAAGGGTGCGTCCAGTTAAAAGCATGGTCCAACAGACCTTCCTGTAAGCTTCCTGTAGGGTCCCGTGCTCTTAAACGTAAAAGCAAACACGGTACTCTCTTTTCGCTCCGCACTTGACATTTTGGCCTTGCATTCTTTGGCTCTTGGCCAAGGAACCGTAGTACAAAAATTTTCATTGACGAAAGCACTGGCGGGAAAACAGTGAAGGGGGAGACAGCTTGCACCTCTCCTCAAAGACCAAAAGAGCAGTCGTACACAAAGAGCAGAAACAATTGTATCCAGTAGCAATCCAACGAGTACGAAGGGTCCTTAATTTAAACAAAACAGTCTCAACACAGACTATGCTTAAATGTGGTTTTAAAATCATCCGTTTATTCTGAAATATAATATACAGCATAAATCAGCAAAAGATAAACAATCCTCTACACAAACGGTACATGTAGACAAAATAATAACTGTTTGGGTGCTCCTTGTGTTGGCCAACTCCCAAATTGAGTTCTTACTGCATTGGAGCAAAAACAACACAAGTTTGGAAAAAAAGCTATCAATGTCATAAAACTGCACACACTGTACGTACAACGCTCATGTCGTTAAAATAGCCACAATTTATAGCATTTAATTTTAGAGCTAATCCACAAATTACTCAAATCCCAATAACGACAGTTTTCAAGAAAGAACAAAACGGTATTTTGGATTTTAATGTTGAGATCAAAGTATTCGAAAATCCTGGAAAACTTTTCCTATGTTGCATATGTGCGTGTGTGTGTGAGAGAGTGTGTGAGACTGTTAAAAAAAAGAGAAAAAATTAACACATCATGGCCTAACCGTTGTTCCACGTACTAAAGCACATTCTATTTAAGGACTTCCAAGAATTCCCGGGCGGTATCATCATTACGGAAAACCAGTGTCGTCTGACTAGTCAACCTGTAGGGTTACGGCGGCCTTCCTCCGCACCGCCTCAGACGCTACACCTCATTTAAGGCAGACGTTTATGCTCAAACTTCAGTGAAAACGTCTCACCCATCCTTAGTGAACTTTACTCCCTTCTCTGCCATCACGGAGTTCCCAAGTGCATGCAGTAACTACCCTGGGGTTCAGATCTCGCGTGCTCTGTAGCACCCTCATTTTCACATCTCCAGGTCATTAAAGCGGACATATACAATGAGATTTGAAAACGAAGAAGCCAACAGGCAGCAAATGAGAAACTCGGGGTAAAATTATTTAAAAGTACGAGTGAAAATGTACTCCAATTTGAATGACTCCACCTCTGATCGGGTTTACCTTGCATTTCACATTAAAAATTGTACTTTGCTCATAGCTTTCTGCATGTCAGCACATCGTGAGATAATAACTATAAAAAGCCACGCATCTTTCTGATGCCCTGTGCGACAACGTGGTGAGAGGCACAAGAAGTCAAGACACAGATTTAATCTAAGCAGTTTCACCTTATTTTGCTGTACTAGTTTTGATGTAATTAGAACCGTCTCGCATCGTTTTGTCCCTATCGTTTAACACAATACCTTCAAAGTGTGTCATCTTTTTGAGCAAATTTGTTCATTTATTCCACTATCCTTATTCACTATGCCCTTATGCTCATAGTCTGACTGGCAGCACTGTCATTCTGATCAATTTAGGCCACTGTGAATGTGATTGATTTTAATGATTACGTCTCATGGTGCCATGTGTTATGTTGATTTCAGTAATCTCACTATGGCATCGTGTCCAAAATCTGTGGCAATGTCCAGTGGGGTCAGTCCTCCCATACTGGCCTTCCTGTCTGCCCCGGCCTCCAGCAGTCTCTCCACCACCCTGAAGTGCCCTGAAACACAGACACAGATTATATTACTCCACTTATACTGCATTATAGTGCAATAGTGTGTGTTTGATCAAAAATACTGCCTAACATTGCAGGGTAATATGTAATAATCTTAAGGGGGGGGGGGGGGGGGGG